TACGGCGCCAGTGCCACCGCCCGCCATTTCGGCATACCACTCACACGTATCGTGGCCCCATGGGCAACTCCAACGAAGGCCCCAGTGCCACCGCCCGCATGCGTCACCTACGCCCATTTCGGCACACCCTTCACGAGGTTCGTTGCCCCATAGGGAGCTCCATGGAAGGCCCCAGTGGCTTCTTTCGCATGCGCCCACCGGACAAATTTGGGCACACCCCTCACACGTTTCGTGGCCCCATAGGGAAATCCACCAGGGTCCTTCGCCAAGCTGATTTGTTCGTAGATTCGATTGAAGAAAACAACTCTGGGGTAAACCAATTCTGTAGTCGATCGCCTACTCGAACAGAAAGGGCAAGTGAGAGAGAGTCTGCGGACGCCGAGCGAGGCGAACAAAAAATTGCGCACGCTGCCTTCCCGGACACTCGCAACGTGGCCCGCTGGTCCTTGGGCCTGGCGAGGGCTCCAAGGAGGCCGAAAGCACTCAGAAACCCTGTGCCGTAATATTTTCGCGATGCGAAGGGGTCCAGAGTCAGACCCCTAAGGATCGAGCAAGGGATCGTTTACATAATTGATGTACCTCAGACTTGCTGTTCTCGTCGGGTCATACGTAGATCTACTGACATCTGACGCATGTCTCAAGGATTCGACCAATCACTCAATTTATGGGGTAGATCAACTCTGCAGCCGATCCCCCACTCAAAAGGAGGCCATGTGCTCCTGACCTCCCAGGCCGAGGCCCTGGGCCCCTGGCCATGCCCCAGAGCGCGCTCTGGCCACAGCCTCGAGAGACGAGCCCAGCGGTGCCCCACAGGGGCGGGCTGCAGAAGCCCTGGATCCCAAACCGTTGTCCACGACGAGGCCAGGACGAGGACAACATCGGACGAGGATGAATCGCGAACCTCTGAGAGGCCCAGCAGTTCTGGAAGATGGCTCGGGTGCCGCGGCCTTCTCGGAACGTCCCGAGACGCTCTGAGAGCGTTCCGGAACGCTCTAGAACGGATTCAGCCTCTCCGCGGTTCAAAGAGATGGGGTCCTGAGGGATGAGGGGGGACCTGGGGATCAGAAGGGTCCCAAGGGTAAAACGTTGTCGGAGGCACCTCGTCCTTTGGACCCCACCCCTCGGGACCACCTCCTGTCCGATGGTCCCCCCCCTGGGGGCTGCCACCTCTGCCTCCGCCGGCTTCCGCCGGTCTCCCGCCTCCCTCCGCCGGCGGAGGCGCGCCCTCGTGGCGCTCCCGTCGCCCTCCCGCCGAGGAGGGGACGCCAGCTCCGCGAGCGCCCGAGACGTCCGGCGTCTCGATCCGTTTCGGGACGCGGGCCCCCGACCGCTCGACCAGCGCACCCCGGGGACCGGCTTCTCATCCCGCGTCGTTGTTTGACGGCCCCCCGAGGCCCAATTGAGGGCCCCCAGAGGCCGAAAACGAGGAGACACCTCCGTCTCGATGTTGTCGAGGCGCCCGATTTCTGGGCCCTTCTTCCTCGTCTGGCCGACGAGGATTTTGGGGGCAGTGCGAAGGGGGGATAGGCATAGGGGGATGCATCGACCCAACATCCCCCATGGCCGACTGGGACATGATGGTCCCAAGCTGCCCGAGGAGCGTGCGGATTTACGATCGGGGGCCTCTCGCCGATCGTCTCGGCGAGGTGTCGCCGATTCCAGGTCGATGGCTCCCCCCCCTACGCCTATCCCCCCCTCTCGTTGCCCCTCAGGATCCGGCCTGCTCCCCGAAAACGAATAGCAACCGCCGTCCCGATTTTTTCAAGGCGCCCGACGGCTTGGTCAATTCCGCGACCCCTCGAAGACGATGCCTCGTCTGGGCCACCCCGCACCATCTGCAGGTGTCCTCCTGGACGCCTGAGGACTGCATGACATCTGAGACTGCGTAATCTACCTACACGACCACCCTTCGGGTGATCAGGAGGTTGTGGGGGGGGGAGAGGGGGGAACCAACATCTGACTCAATCGATTTCACTACCGATCTCACTCAACGGGACACCACGGGACACCACGGGACACTTGTCGATCTCACTATCTCATTACCGATCTCACTACTTATCTCACTCAACGGGACACCACGGGCCACCACGGGACACTACGGGACACCGCGGGACACCACATGTACCTCAATATCGATCTCACTATCGATCTCACTCAACGGGACACCACAGGCCATCACAGGAAACCTGTCGATCTCACTATCGCTCTCACTATCAATCTTCCTCTTTGGGACACCACGGGACACCGGGGAAACCGCGGGGCCCCACATTGATCTCAGTATTGATCTCAGTATCGATCTCACTATCGATCTCACTCAACGGGCCACCACGGGACACCACGGGACACCGCGGGGCACCTTTCAATCTCACTATCGATCTCGCTCAACGGGACACCATAGGCCACCACGGGACACCTCGGAGCACCACATCGATCTCACTATCGATCTCACTATCGGTCTCACTGTCGATCTCACTCAACGGGACACCGCGGGACACCACGGGACACCTGTCGATCTCACTATCGATCTCACCATCGATCTCACTTTGTGGGACACCGCGGGACACCACGGGACACCTCGGGACACTACATTTATCTCAGTATCGATCTCACTATCGATCTCACTCAACGGGACACCACGGGACACCACGGGACACCACGGGACACCACGGGACACCACGGGACACCTGTCGATCTCACTATCGATCTCATTATCGATCTCACTTTTTGGGACACCACGGGACACCCCGGGGCTCAACATCGATCTCAGTATCGATCTCAGTATCGATCTCAGTATCGATCTAACTCAACGGGACACCACGGGACACAACGGGACACCACGGGACACCGCGGGACACCGCGAGCCACCGCCGGACGGACGGACGGACGGACGGACGGGCGGGCGGGCGAGGGAGAATCAGTTGTCTTGACTTCGCCCTAGCAGCTCGGAAACCACGGGACAAAACGGGACACCACGGGACACCGCGGGACACCGCGAGCCACCGCCCGACGGACGGACGGACGGACGGACGGGCGGGCGAGGGAGAATCATTTGTCTCGACTCCGCCCCAGCAACGGCGGAAACCACGGGGCACCACGGGGCAACACCGCGGGACACCGCGAGCCACCACCGGACGGGCGGGCGAGCGAGGGAGAGAATCGTTTGTCTTGACCTCGCCCTAGCAACGGCGTGCTCAGTCCTCTCGCGCGCCCACGCAGCTTCGCCCCGCCCGCACGCACGACACGAACGAGACGAAACGATTTCCCTGTTGGGGGTTTTCGTTCCGCTGCGATCTCACCCCCCAACCTCACCTCTGGCAATGAGAAAGAAAAATCACAAGCACCTCTTCGGCACAACGTGCTGCACTCCTGGAAGGGCGTCGCAGGCCGCCTTCCCTGAACAAACATGAGAAGGACAAAAATTCGGGCTCTGGCCAAGCTGGCACAAACACTGAATACGGAAAACCTCCCGCTAGGATGTTTTCATTTCCCGAGGGGGTCTGGGAAATTCGGTTCAATTTGTATCGCCGACGTCGCGGACGAATTGCATTTGATTCGCAGCGTGGCACGGATAGACTGCCTTCCGGGGTGCTCCCGCCCCCAACCCGCTTAGTCCCCTCGCGTGGACTCCTTCGTGCGGGCGCTGTGTCTGTCGCTGCACGCACACCTCTTCATTTGCCGGTGCGCCGTATGTGCGCTGGGTTTGACTGCAGAATCCCTGAACCGACATGGTCATAGAAAAGGGTTCAGCCTCTGGCCGAGCTGGCACCAGCACTGAATACGGAAAAACCTCCCGCTGAGATTTTTTCATTTCCCGAGGGGGTCTGGGAGCGTTGCCCCTCAGGATTCTTCGGACTCACACCATCGGCAAGGCAGGCCCGGTGCCCGCCCCACACAGCCGCAGGCCAGGCGGCGCGCTTCCAAGCGCCGCGGCCGACGCCGTGCGGCGGCGCCGCCCGCCTACTACGAGGGGCACTTCGGGGGAGAGGACGGCCAGACCCTGAGGGGCAACGATCCCAGAGCCCCTCGGGCAGGGACAAAATCTTGGCGGGAGGGACCTGGAACCGGCGATACACCGCCGATAGATCAATGAGAGGCCCCCGATAGTGCGTCCGCACTTTCAAGAGCAGGTTGGGGCCATCAGATCCCAGTCGGCGATCAATGGGGGATTAGGGGCTCGATGCATCCCTCCCTATGCCTATCCCCCCCTATTGTTGCCCCCGGAATCCTCCTCGGCCAGAAGATGAAGAAGAGCCCAGGACTCGGGCGCATCGAAAAAATCGAGACGGAGGTATTTCCTCTTTTCGGCCTCTGGGGACCCTTACGGGGCCTCGGGACCGTCAATAATCGACTCGGGGTGAAAAACTGGTCCCGTGGAAGTGGTCGAGCGGTCGGGGGCCTGCGTTTCGAAAAAATGGGACGCCGGATGTCTGGGAGGAGGCGGATGGAACTCCTTCACGGTCCACCACCTACTCTGAGATCCGACGAAGCAACAAAAACGCAACATCGTGCCGAGTCACGACCAGAGCCCTTCAGACCCAATCTTTCTGCGCCATTTGTCGAGCCTGGTCGAGCTATGATAGTCCCTATAGGCCCGAGACCAGGGGGACACGCGGATGTGAAAAAAATGCAACGCCTGGATCCTGGGTGGGGGGAAGAGGTACCGATAGCGCTGCTCCCAGGACCTCTCCTGGATGCGTTCTGACCAGAGCTTCGGCGAGGTGGCGACGAGGGCCTCTCATAGGATGCCCCAAGAAAGCAAAAACGAGGCCAGGGGTATCGGCGCCTTTTCCGCCCCTGCGCTCCACCACCTGCCACGGTACGCTGAGTCATGCAGTCCCTAGCTGCTCTGAGACGCACGTGTTGAAACGTAACACGTGCCGTGTTCGAAACGTCCATGTTCAAAACGTCCGTGTTCAATCTACATGTTGAGCTCCGTGAAAAATACTCTACGTGTTCCGTGTTGCGTTTCGGGGCAGCTAGGATGCAGTCAAGTCGGCTAC